CTTGACTCATAATGTCAAGTGTTGCCTTCTTGCTGGTTAGACGGTTCTCTTCCTTAGCTTTTACCTTATCTTTAGGATAGTCCCTTCATCTCCTCCCCTTCTTTAATTTTCAAAACCTTCTCATTTTTTTTCAAAAACTTCTTGGTTTATAAACTCGAACCGCTTTCATAATAAACCTCGACTTTTGTCGATTGCATTTTCTTTTAAAACTTATTTTCTTTAAACAAATTTCAATTCATTTAATCATACATTGACATCTTTCAAAATTAACAAAAACACTTCAACTCATTAAAACCCTTTTATGCTCTCGAGCACCTTTACCCTTCAAAACTTTTTTCAAGATGAGACATGATTCATTTTGAGAAACATTCTCCTATCCCCATGGTTATAAAGGTGTCGACTTTTCCACTTGAGTACTAGAGGCGTTCTCAAACCCTTACTCTTGCTGACGCAGGGTCCATCTTTCTCACACCTTGTGGACGTTAGTCGAGATTTCTCTCCTAACAATGACGACTTGTCTCTTCATTTAAAATCAATCAACAGACAAGTCTTTTCTAGCTGAACTACGGTGCTCTGAATTTCCCATTGCACGAGGGAGTACGTAGGTATTAAGTCTTATGATCCAAAGCGAATAACAATAATAAAAAAACATTTCATTTTCTTTTGGTGCAAATACTCATTCATTCGTTTCCTTTAGTAAGTAAACCTTTACATGACACTCCTTTTAAAAGAAACCAAACAAAGTGGATCCTGCAGAATACCGTAGATGCTTAGGATTCTAATACATTTCCTTTGTATAACCGACCCCCGTACCTCGATCTCTGACCTTTTATTTTATTATGGGTTTTGTTCACTTTTTTTCCATTTCTCTTTGAAAACAATAAAGTGCGGTGGCGACTTCATTATGTTGAGATAAGTCAATTGATGGCTTAATCTCAAATCTTTACCGCTACATTTCTCTTTCTATCATCACTTCGCAATTTTGTTTCATCTCTCTTCGTCTTCCACGACGGCGGCGATTGCACGTGCGACAAAACATGTAGGAATAATGACAAAACTTGCTAGAGTGTGAGATAGTGACGGTAAATGAAAAATACATATTTGAAAGAGATAAGAGTGCTCCCAAACTTATTGCGTAAGTCATCTATATGCATCATGCATGATGATACATGAAGCACAAATAGGGTAAATGAGAACGTGAAAGAAAATTAGCATCAAAGTGAAATATTCATCGGTTAATGCTGAAAATTAACCTTGACAATCCATTGACTTGTCTTTAGTCATGTTTAAAGAGTTTTTCATTTAGCATTTTGAGATTCAAATTCAAACCTGTCTCCACCCCGTAGGAACTACGAGATCACCCCAAGGACGCCTTCGGCATCCAGGGGTCACGGACCGACCATAGAACCCTGTTCAAACTGAAAAGGGATAACTAATGCGTTCTCAGGTTGAACAGTTAAGGGTCGGAGAAGTGCAATTACTCATTCTTAACTTAAAACCTACATTCTTAAGTGCAAAGAGTCGGACAGGTGATTTTGAAAAAACAAAAAATGCTAAATAAATTATTTTTATTTTATTGTATGGTGGAATTAAAAACAATGGTAAATATAGTGATGAATGAAAATGAAATATTTTTTATTTAGAAGTTAATTAAAAAGTTTAATAGAAAACAATTTAAGTTACTCAAACAAAATTAGGGTACTACAGTGGAGTTTAGTTGTATTGTAATAGTCAAAGTATCATTTATTTAACAAACAATCAAATGCATCATGGAAGAATCAAACATATTAATTTGAGATTTCACAAGATCAGAGAGTTACTTGCATATGAACATATATTATTTGTGAATTTTCATACTTCAAAGAATGCAGTAGATGTGTTGACAAGCCATTCATCGATGACAACTTCAAATATTGTTTGGACTTGACACATGTGAGTGTTAAGTAGAAGATGTATCTATCCAATTGATCATCATGCTTCATACATGTTTGATATTCGAAAAAATGAAGATTGTTGTGTATGATTTATATTAAAACAAAGAGAAATAAAACATGTGAAAATTCCAAACATGTCTTAGATCCAACTATTTATTTTGGATAGATGATTGAGAGTGTGGTGATGATAGACTCCCGTGGTACGATTCATGAGTATTATTGTAAATATATATAGAGAAACAAATGTATTATTACTTTTTCCTCGCTATTTTAATTATTATTTTATTACATATTAAAATAACAAAGGTACCTTTAATGTCAGCTTTGACATTAAATTAACAAAGGTACTAATACATTTTGGAACAACATTACGTAATAGGAATGGACTGAAAATGAATGTTAAATGGTGTTATTAGCATGGAAAATATGGTAGATTTTATTTTAATCCAATTTGTTGAGAGATAAAAATGTAAAAAGAGTAGTTATTTGTTCACAAGTGACATAAATATTTGATTGAGATGCACAAGAAATCCTCAAAAAGTACAACTCATACAAGTTCCTTCGCCAACTGAAACTACAAGCTTCAATCTGAAGTTTGACAAGAATAAATATGAAGATGAAGTGATGGACCTTGGTCAAAGACATTTATAATAAGGATGAGAACATTTATATAGTTAGAATATTTTATTTTGCTAGTTTTCCATTCAATGTTGCTAGAAATCTTTACTTTATGAATGTATTTTCTTATGTAGGAAACACTTCTATATCGAGCTAAATTGCCATAAGAGCTATCATGCTACAAAGAGAGAAAACCAATACTTTGAAATTGGAACAACCTATCAAACACACTTGGCTAAAAATGGTGTGAATATAGTTATAGATGGATTGATGTACAAAGAAGACAATTGATTGACTTTATGACAACCTCCACAATACCTATGTTTTTTAAAGTTATTATGGTACAAGTGAGTGCAAAGACAAACATTACATTGCTAACGTAATAATGCATACAATTGATAAAGGTTCGAGAACAAAATATTGTCCAAATTATTATTGATAATGGCCCGGTACATAAGGTTGCTGGTTTAATTGTTGAAAGTGTGAAAATGTGCATCCTCATATTTTTCGAACACCATGTGTAGTGCACACATTGAATTTGGCTCTCAAAGGTATTTGTTTGTTCACCAAATATTACTTCATTCAATTTGGCTCTCAAAGGTATTTGTTCACCAAAAAAATACACCATGAAATAAGGTATTGGTTAATCGATGCATATCTTGTTTCAGTGATAGAAAGCACTCTCAAATGCACAAATTGTTTGCATATTTCAAATCTCTCATGAAATGATTTAGAATAAATTTTTTTATATAAAAAGCATCATTAACTAAACAATTTCATTACTTAGCTTGTTTTCTTTTTGGTGAACAAATACATTTGAGAGTCAAATCCAAAATCTTCTTCAATAACTTTTTCCCACGTGTTTCTAGAGAGAGAAGGTCTCACCTCTCTCTAAAATTTAGGGTGTTTTTTTTCCTCCTCACTCTTTTAGGGTTTGACGGTATTTTTTCCCTTCCAATTTTCTGGTTCTTATCTCCAAATTTATTCCGCATCTTTCTCCCCTGTGGGAGTGTCTGTTACGAGTTTTGTCTAGTGTCGATTCTCTTATCTATTTCTCTTGGGTCCCTCTTCTGGATCTTGGAGATGGATAAGTGGAAAAACATTCCCTTGTCAAAAGAAGAGGAAGAAGGAATTACAGCTGAGGTTGAAGAATTCTATGGCGTGGATATTTTTCAACGTACCTTAGCGGCAAAATTGTGGATTGAAAACAGTTTCAATTCAAGAGCTTTCAAAAATACAATGATTTGGGCTTGGAAGCTTAAACATCAGGTGGAATCTCAAGATCTAAGCAAGAATATTTTCTTGTTTAGGTTTTCGTCGAAGAGAGACTTGGAGGTGGTCTTGAGAAATGGGCCATGGAGCTTTGATCGGAATCTACCAGTCTTGTCTCGTGTTTCTAGTGAGGAACAACCGTCGGACCTGAATATGCACTTTGGAGTTTTTTGGGTCAGAATTTATGATTACCCCTCATGTTAAGATCTGAAGTGACGACAAGGAAGTTTGGAGGGATTCTGGGTACTTTTGAAGAAATGGATCTTAGAGAAGCTCACCGCAATGGGAGGTTTATGTGCATCAAGGTGTCTTTTGATCTCAAACAACTTCTGAAAAGGGGAACTGTGGTTAGATTCAAGGAGAAGAATATGTGGGTACATTTCAAATAAGAAAGATTATTGACTTTTTATTTCATCTGTGGTCGAGTAGGTCACCAACGAAAAGACTATGAAGTTGTTGGGGATTTGAGTGAGAAGGGTTTCAAAGAGATAGAGGAACAAGATTTGTCTTATGGGGCATGGTTGAGAGCATCGCTGTTGCCAAGGGTCCCATAAGAACCAAAGAAGAAGGAGATAAGTTCCAGTTCGTGTAGCAAAAGTCTGTTCAATATTTCCTCAGGCCAGAGCCATTGCAAAATGAAAGGGAAAGGGAAAGAAGTTGAAGAAGGGGAGGTGAAGCAGATCAAAGGTAAAGGGAATGAAGGAAATCACTTGACTCCTGTAAAGGATATTGTTGCTCCCCCTATATAAGTGATATGATTGAAATTGAGGCTATTGTGGAGTCACTTGGGGCAGTGGATATCTCGAACAAAGGGACTGATAAGGGAGGCTCAAAGAAAAGACATGTGGTCAAAAACGAAAGTGGACTCAAAGGAAGTCGATAATGAAATCCCCTGATAGTCAAACTGAGAAGCTGGAGCTGGAAATTGGGAAGAGACCCTTGGTGGATGTCATGATAATTAATGGTATAGTGGAAGGGGGAGTGGGGAGAAGAAGCTAAGAGGTCCTGAGTTGTCATTTAGTGTGAAAGAAACTGAATCAGAGGTGGTGGTGGAAGACCAACAGCGCCTACAACAATGAAAATCCTCAATTGGAATTGCAGGGGTTGGGGCATCCCCGTGCAGTTTGAGCTTTGTTAAGGCTCATCTGTTTAGAAAACCACGCATTGTTGTTTGTTATGGAGTCTCGTGTAAATCAGGAGGAGGCTCAGGCTATCAAAGTTAAATATGGTTTTGAATTTGGTTTTAGTATGGACTGTCGTGGAGTTAGGAGAGAAAGAGAATGTGGCCTCATGTTGTTTTGGAAAAAGAGTTTGAACATTACTATCTCTCCATACTCCTCTAACCATATTGGGGGAACAATGGTGGATGAATGTGACAATCAGAATTGTTCATTCAACAGTATCTACAAATACCCTGATGAACAAAATAAACGGGAAACCTAGTTGCTTATTCAAGAGCTGGTTTCGCAAGGGGGGTAATAAAATGGCCTGCTATGGTGATCTTAATGATATTATTTTTTACCATGAAAAAAGGGTGGCAACTGCAGAACTTCTGGGCAGCTAGCATGGGGCCGTCAAGCTGTAGACAGTTGCGGATTGGTGGATATAGGTTTTGAGGGATATCCATTTACTTGTACCAATGGGCGGTGAGGAAGTGATAACATCTAGGAAAGGCTAGACATAGTCCTCATTTCCAATGAGTTCTCTAGCAGATTTGCCCCGTTGAAAGTCTGTCATCTTCCCTGTTATGGCTCTGATCACGCGGTGATAAGGCTCGAGTTGGAAGAAGATTCTAATGGCAAAGGGAGGAAAAGGTCTCATATCTTTCGGTTCGAGGAAGTGTGGAGCAGGGATCCAAGGTGTGAAGATGTTGTAAAATGGTTATCGAACAATTACAGGCTACGGGGTCTGATAATATTTTGGCTATGAAAGGGCTTGATGAGCATTTCAGAGTATACAAGATTGGTTCTATAAGAAATGAGTTAGTGAGAATTGGGGAATTTCTCCAGGAGGACTGCAGATGGGATGCAAGTGATGACTCCATAAAATCCTACAAAGCGCTTGAAAGCCAACTAAATAATCTTCTCCAAGTTGAAGAGGTTATTTGAAGGCAGAAGGGTAGGGCGATATGGCTTAAGCATGGTGATCGTAATACAAATTTTTTCACAAGAAAGCAGACCAGCGGCAGAAAGTTAATACTATCAAAAGGTTGAAAGATGAGAATGGCCATTAGTGGAGAGGTGACCTCCATTGTGAAAGTGTGCTAATTAATCATTTTCAGAGCTCTTTGCAACATCTTCTTCGGTGAATATGCAGGAGGTTTGTTCGTGGTTAGAGGAAAACTTAATCTTGACCAAAGGAACTGGTGTGCTAGTCATTTTTCTGCCTAGAAATTTGATGATGCGCTTTAGCAAATAAACCCTTTGAAGACTCCTGGACTGGATGGTCCCCCGAAGCTCTTTTTTCATAAGTACTGGCATTTTGTAGGTCCGAATGTTAGGAGTGTTGTGCTGGATATGATAAACAACGGTAAAGATTCGTCCAGAATAAATGATACCCACACTTCCCTGATTCTGAAATGTAAAAACCCAACCAGGACCAAAGACTTCCATCCAATCATCCTCTGTAATGTCATTATGAAGCTTATTACAAAGACAATTGAGGACATGATCAAGTGTGTTCTCCCGGGGGTTATTGACGAGGAATAAAGTGCTTTTGTCAAAGGGAGGTTAATTATGGACAACACTTTGATTGTTATGGAATGATTCCATTGGATGAAGAATAAAACTAAAGGAAAACAGGGGGTCATGGCGCTAAAGCTCGATATGTCAAAATCATACGATAGGATTGAGTGGCCTTTTGTTGTTGAGGTCTTTTCCTCCATGGGTTTTCCTCCTAGTTGTGAAGCTCATTGAGAGATGCATTTCAATGGTCACCTGCAAGGTGCTGGTGAATTGCCAACCCAATTGTAGTTTCACCCCTGAGAGGGGTCTCCGCCAAGGAGATCCGCTCTAACCTTATTTATTCATATTGTATGTTGATGTCCTTTCAGGTCTTCTGAAGAAAGAGAGGTTTGACTCGAGGATCCATGGAATTAAAATTGCTAGAAGGGCTCCGGTGATCTCCCACTTATTATTCGGGGACGATAGCTTAATTTTTGCTCGGGCTAACTCTCAGGAACCAGACAAAATCCTGGACATCCTACAGAAGTATCAAGTTGCCTCTGAACAAATTGTAAACTTAGACAAATTTAAACCTTCTTTTAGCCACAACGTCAGTGTTGATGAGCAAAATGTGATTCGAGGAAAGATGGGAGTTCAGACTGTTTCGAGTTACTTGAAGTACCTTGGCCTACCTGTGGTCTTTGGGAGATCCAAGAGGGCAGTATTTGCTCTTGTAATTGAAAGAGTGTGGAATAAAATCAAAGTGTGGAAAGAAAAGTTCCTTTCAAGGGCAGGGAAAGAGGAGTTAATTAAAGTTGTGGCTCAGGCAATCCCGAGCTACATTATGAGCTGTTACAAACTCCCGGAGATAATCTTCCATGAGATTGAGGCAATGATTATGAAGTTTTTGTGAGGCTCCAAGAACGGGGAAAGAAAGGTCCATTGGCTGAGTTGGGAGAGGATGGCGAAGGATAAAGGAGAGGGAGGTATGGGTTTTTGTGGTATTAGCAAGTTTAATATAAGTTTGTTGGGGAAAAACTATTGGCGCCTTCTAACCTGTGAAGAGTCCTTTCTTGGGAAGGTTTTCAAGAATCAGTATTACCCTAGGACGTTCATTGCGGATAGTTCGTTAGGCTAGGCGCCTAGTTAAGCCTGGAGGAGTATTTGTAGTGAAAAGAAAGTGATTCGGTCATGTTCTTACTGGAGCATTGGTGTGATACGGTGGGAGAACTGACTTTGGTTTTGCATTTGTGTGCGCAAATGTTCGGTTTAGCAAGAGTCGCCACCGAATTTTTATTTTATCCCAAGGAAAGGTTAAAAAGCACAGGAAAGACCTTTGAGATGTTTTCGTGGGTTCGGGGGGTAGATTATGAAAAGGGAAGGTATTAGCACCCTTTTCATCCATGGTTATCCATGGGCTCTTAGTTACTTGTTTTAGATCACTTGCCTTTGATTTTCAAATTTCTTGAAATTGTGGTGTGTGTGTGTGTGTTTCGAAAATGTTTTGAAAAAGAGGCCTTGTCTAGGCAACCATTGTAATGACTCGTGTTTGAGTATATACAAAGGTGTGTATCTTTTAGAAAAGATGTTTCAAATGTTTTTGGAAGTTTGTTTTTGAAAGTGTTTGTGGAGTGGGGTTTTGAAAAGTAGGAAAGCGTGTTTTGCAAGTTTGATCAAGTAACTAAGAGTTGTCTACCCCTAAATTTACTCAAAGGTTTTTCTTATGTTTTAACCCTTTTAACAATTTTGTTCCACCATTGTATTTGGTGGACAATCTTGCGTTAGGATGTTAACGGGACAGGCGCGAGTCATCGTATGGACCATGAATGCAATGGTGCCAAGTGTCTTTGGCAATTTTGCTTGAAGGGACTATGATCATTCCGTTTTGGCAACTTTCGAAAGCGTCATCGAGGGACTATGATCATTTGATTTGTTTTGTTTTGCCAAAGAAACTCAACGTGCAAGCATGGCCCATTTTGGAAGGCAACAAGCGGGATTACCCTAGGGGTGCAAGTGTGAATAGTGTATTGATTGTCATGCATTTGTCTTTGTATTAGGATATCTAGCGTTTGATTTTATTTACATACAAACCCTAGGTCTAAACATGGTATATTTGGAAAGCGATAAATTGCGGGAATTTAAAGTCTACGCTATTACAAATAAGTATCTGGGAGTGGGGGTACAAATATTTACAAATGGGGATGAGACTTTAATGGGAGAGTAGTGTCCAAATAAATTACAACCAAATCGAATCAATCACAATCTCAAATGTAAAGTAATAGCAACGTGTAAGAATAAAGCAATATAAATGTATCAATGTATTTGTGTAAGTGTAGGTGAATATTTATAAGTGAAATGTTAACTTAATGTAAAATTAAGTATTTATTTATTCTTTTTGTATTTTTGTTAAGTATGTACAAACAAGAAAATTTAATAAAAGAAAAGAAAATGTTTTAAGTTCTATTTTTTTATGTATTAATATTAATGTATTTTAATTAGTATTTTTATGTACAAAGAAAAAATTTTTAAGAAAAGAAAAAGAAAATGTTTTAAGCTTTTAGAGAAAATTATCATTTATACATTTTTGGTTTATGTACAAAAGGGTATTAAATAAAAATTTTAAAAAAAGAATATTATTTAAGTTAGAAAAAATCTTATTTCTATATATACTCCTAAATATATAAAAAAGTATTAATAGACATTTAAAAAAAAAAGAATTTTAATTGTATCATTCTTTTTATTTAAACAAAAAACATTAGTGTGAGTTAGTTTAAAAAGAATTAAATGGGCCTAGGTAGAATTCTGGCCCAAACAGAAATTGCATGAGGATCAGAAAGAAAGGGGGTGAGCGCCTAAATTAGTGGGGCTTAGCGTTTTTGTTGGACAGGGCAAGGCCCAGCGCATTTACACGTTTTTTGCAAGGGTTTTCAATAGTTTGTTTCACATTGGGAATTTAGGGTTCGTGGAGTTTCAGAGGCGCCGTTCCTTACTTTACTTCCTTCGCCTTCTCAAGCCAAGTTACTGAACGCCGATCCTCCGCCTAGGGCCACCGAGCGCTGCCGTCTACTCCTCTTCCCTCCATTGTTGAGCGTAACAGCGACAAGCATTAGGTAAGAAATTTCCCATTTACATCTCTTGCTTTAGTTCGTGCATGTTCTGATTATTATTTTTGTTATTTGTCTCGTGAGGTGTTTTAAAGAAAGGAGAGAATTTTATACCTTTTGGAGACGGAGGCTTTTGGAGATGGAGGAGAAGCGGATCGGAGGTGCTTCAGGCGGCCAAGGACGAGGGCGTGATGCACTGTGAACTAGCTTGCTTTGCTGGAAAACCTGGTATTCGTTGTCTTTGCTTTTTTAGGTTTAATGATGATAACCTGAGAACCTTCGTATAACTCTCTTTTCCTCTTCTGTCTACTCGCTTCAGTTGCCTTTGATTGCTTCTTTTCTTCTATGTGCTTCGTATGTTGCCTCTGATATGCTGTTGAATATTGCTTTTGTTTGATGTTGGCCCAGTGATGAACACAGTTCTGAGGGTTTTGGTTGGTTCTGTATGTTTGGATACTGGCAACTGGTATTATGTAGGATGAGGCTTGAACACAGATTTGTGTGTTTACTGGCTTTGAACAGGTTAAGGCTTTTGTTGCTTGAAGTCAGGTTTCTAGCATGTTTATGCAGGATGGGGCTTGAACACAGATTTGTGTGTTTGAAGCTATAGGCTTTGGCTTTGTTTGTCTTGAAAGGTTGGCTTAGGCAGGTTTGTAATCTTGTATGGAGGTTTGAGGCAGGTTAATGTTTTGTTACAGTTTAAGGCAGGCTTGGCTTCTGTTTGAATGTTTTGTGGGCTTGTTTTGTAACAAGCTTATCAGTAGGCAGACTTTAGAATTGCTGTTTGTATATTGGTTCTTTAAGCTTGTTTGTAAGTTTGAACACAGGTTGATGTTTTGGTTTAGGACAGGTGAAGGCTTTTTATGCAGTAACAGGTTTAAGCTTCTGGTTGCTTGAAGTTTATGGAGGCAGCTCTGTTATGTTTTTGTTGATACAGTTTGAGAATTTTTCTTTGTGATATTTTCTGCCTCTCTTTCTCTTTGTCTGATATGCTTGTTATATCTTTTTTTTCTTCAAGCCTAAGCCTGCTGTAAGCCTTCTTCTTTTTCTTTTCTCTCTCTCTCTCTTGACAGATTAAACAAAGCATTTTATTGCTTAAATTTGTCTTTTCTGAAAAAGTGACAGGCTGGAAAGTGATGATTTGAATATGCTTGCTTGCACACTAGTTTTCCTCTGCATACTTTGTACTTCTTGCATACTTTGTGTACTTCTTGCATATCTCTTTGATAGCCCTTTTGACAGCCTTGATATCCTTTTGGCAGCTCTTGTACCTTTGACAGTTTTGGACAGTTTGCTGTCTAGTTTGGACTTTGGTTAGGCATGTGTAGTTCAGTTTGCCTTTGGACTTTGTTTGGAACTTTTGGAATTATGCAGCTTTTGAAAAACTTTGAATTTGTGCAATATTGTAACTTTTGTGCATTTCATACTTTTTTGCAAGTATTTTTATCCCTCTTTGTGAATCAAGAGAAATCTTGTGATTTGCAGAGAGGGCAAACTGATTCCGGCCAGTCGCTTTTAATGATGAACTTTTAAATTACTGTCTGCTCTTAATTTCATTTCATCTGCTTTTGACTTTTTCTTTTTCTTTGTTTTGCAGATAAAAATCAATGGAGCAAAAGAGGAGTAGCAGAATAGAAGATGAAGACTTAGGAATTTTTTTAAGGATGTATCTTTATTTCACTTTTAATCATTGTAACATTATTAATGTAAACATCTGTAAATAAATTTACAGTGTACAAATAATAATTGTAACAAATAATTAAAGATGAATAAAATCTACTTTTGATCAGTTAATTCTTTTTTATTTCTTTTCAATTGTTTATTTTAATTGTTTGAGTTTCTTAAATTAAAACAATTGGAAGTAAATCCAATTATTCTTACTTAGAAAAAGAAATAATTAATAAACGTCCGGCGTTCCGAATTAAACATAACAATGCACAGTCAATCACAACAAATGCCCAAATGTCCTTTCCTTTTACTGATTAAATCCAAACACTGCAAATTCTCAATCAACAACCTCAGTCCATATCTCAGTAATTTGAAAAGGAATGTAGAATTAATTCTTTCTGAGAATGCGTGCACAAAACCCTGATTCTTGACTAAATGTCAGAGAAGCGCCTTTCTGATCAAACCTGAGCCAAACTCAAACAAAACCCTAGCAATCTGCTTGAACTGCTTCAAAAGTTAACGAAAACCCTAATTTTGTATAGATTGATAAGAAAAAGTCCGTTTTACTGATTCTTACGCCAATTTGAAAAATCAGGAAAAGCCCGAAGCTGTGATTTCTTGTGGAAAAAGAGGAGGGCAAATTTTGGGGTACAACAATTGGGAATGGTGAGAGTGTCCTGGTGGTAAGGATAGGTGGATTCCTGGAAATTTTGGTTTTACTATTAAAGGTCGAATTTATGGTGTTGGTGGCGTGGACATGAGTTCTAAAGTAAGTGAGTTCATTGATGGAGATTTAGGATTGTGGAAGAATATCTTATTTTTCCATGTTTGAAGAGGGGGATTACTGGATGAGGTAAAGCAGCAAGCAAAAAGTAAGTTATTAATTTATCGGGTGACATTTAGGTTATATCGTATCGTGTCCATAGAAACTGGTGTATTGAAATACCGTTCGAAAATCTCTTGTTAATGAGTTTGTGGTTTGAATGTGTTGAAAGGAAAGGCATCAACAAAAAATAAATGTATAAAAAGGAAAGACAAACTTATCCGGCTCTAATGTACTCTACTCGTCACAAACTTAAATCTATCGACCAGTTATACTCAACCTACAATATTCATCAATATAATCACATGTCAAACACAA